GAGTTTGGAGACACAGAAGGCGGTGCTACGAGCAAGAGTGCCAATCTTGAAGATATTGTTATAATTTTGTTTCAGTCTTAGAGGGAGAAGGTTTGAGAGAAGTGGGGTTCAAGAATGGTGATGGAGTGAGTGAGAGGAGATAGCTAGGTTTAATTATAGAAAATGGCAATGTTTAACAAAATCATTTTTAATAATAATAATGATATGTTTTATGTACAAAAATGGTTAGGGTGTACTCCTGACCCAATTATAGAGAGTAAGAAAAGAACAGTCATGCATCATCTCCATATCACAATCAGTATCCTCAACAATGGCATAGATAGATACAGTTCATGGATCTTCATATCGTCTCTTATTTTTCTCTCATCGTTTCTTACAAAAAAAAGTGATTGGGTATATATGAATGCTTGAGCACTACAGCTTATATACATGTTTAGCACCATTTTCAATGAAGTAGTAGAGTCATGCACGAGGCTTAAGTTTAATATATTTATGGGGTTTAAGAACAAAGCAAGCACAACCAATAAACTTCATTTGAACTTTATGTTCAATATTACACCTTGCTTGTTATGTACATAAGCATGATATTTCCTAGCTTTTTATGTATTAAGAAAGGAAGAAGGGAGTGGTAGGAACCTAAATAAAACTTGACATGTAGGAGTTTAAATAATTTATGATATTGTACGTACGTTTTGGCCTCTATTATTCATTATAACCAATGAATTCAAGAAAAGAGTAGTTTTACAATTTTGAAGTTGATGTTTTATTTAGTCTAAAATTTGGTGCTGAGATTTCCACTGCTGGTCCAGGACTCTTGAACTTGCATAGAATAGTGTAGATTCCAGAGAACATCCTCTATGGATGGGCGATTATTATTAAACTTTGAGAGACAATTAATGGTTATCTGAACTGCAGTCCTCATTGATTCATATGCATATGTTCCTCTAAGTGAAGGATCAATTGCACTTCTTATTACTGATTGTGCTTCTGATGAACCTCTTTCCAGCTTCATTAACATACATCATCATAAAGAGAAACAATTATTAAATACAATAATGCAACACTAATTTTGGATAGATACAAAAATTGCTATGGATACATACCTCATCCTTCAGCTCCTCTAATTCACTGGAAGATTCAATTCGTCTTCCAGTTATAAGTTCAATTAGAATAACACCCAACTCATAGATATCCTCTTTTTCTGCATTATTTGTTCTGCATATGATTGGGGATTATGACAACAACATATTATACATAGGAGGATACATGCTAAGAGTATCCAAAACATAGAGACAATTTTGAGTTTCCTTGATTCATATATGAGTGGAAAAGAAGAAGAAGAAGAACATAAGGTAATACCTGCCAATTTGATTGGAAGTGAAGGGAATGGTGTATCCACTAACTTTTGCATTGAGACTATCATCCAAAAGAATGTTTTTAATGCTTAAATTGTTTCCATATATGGCAGGAGCAACACCTGTGTGTAAGAATTGAACTCCTCTTGCAATGCCTATGCTGATTGCCATTCTTTGTGGCCATTTCAGCATGTCCCTCTTTTTCCAATCTATTCATTAATGAAAACAACTTATAAATGTTTCATTCTTTATCTAACAAATTCTGTGTGTGATTATTTGTTACTGTACCTGTAAGTTGATCCTTCAATGACACATTTGAGATGAATTCATATACAATGAAGACTGTGCTTGATGTTGTTTGAGGAGGAGCATCCTGATGAGTAATTATGCAGTGTCCTAGAACACTCACCAAATGCCTATGTCTCAAATTTGGCAATACCTCCTGCATGATGCTATGGGGCAAACCTTTCTGCTTTATTTTCACACAATTAACTAGCACCACTGACCCATCTCTGATCCAACCTTTATATTGCTGTGTAAATAAAAACTATAGTATGAGTTGTGTTAGATCATATACTTCAATTGAAGATAATATAAGATAGTGCTATATGAATTACATACTACTTGGTAACACAAGTTATGAATCATGAACAGTATAAAAATGAATTCTCTTACAGTCTTACCTGTCCCTGTGATCCTTCACCAATAAGATTTGATGGATCAAAGTTATTTGTAGCATCTTCAATTTCCTCTGATGTGAAAATACGGTATGGTGGCAGTCCAAGTGCACCTACTCTCATTGTTTGAGGAACACGTCCTATTCTCACCACAGGAGAAGTCATATTAATAATGCATCACTTAAATGAAGTCATAACAATTTGACATAACTATATATCCAACTGAGATTAGATGTACTTTTACTCAGATTAGAGACAAAATCACTTTGAAAGAAGAGCCTTTTCTTATCTATCATACCATCAATAATAATAATAATAATAATGGTGGCCTTACTTGCATCAATTGGTCTTACAGATGTTGCATGAGCTGAAACATTATCAGCCACAGATCTGTCTATCTTAGGAGGATCTGATCTTTCTGCTTTGGACTTTCTTAAGATAATGAATACTATGAACAGAGCCAGAAGTGCTGCAATTCCTACAACACCTCCAATTATACCAATTACTAGGCCTAATGTCATACCACCAGATTCCTTCTTCTGTTTCTTAGGTACAGTTGGCTTAACAGCTAAGGCCACCTCTTTATTGCAATATGAATATGGATGTTGTTGTTGTTGTTGTTGTTGTTCATCACTTAACCTTTTCCCAGTTGACAAACAATTCCAAGAATATAGCACTGTGCCACCCTTTGAAGACACTAATGAAGCAACACATGATGGTAATTTTCCCACCAAAAGGTTGTGTGAGATATCCACATATGTTAGTGCTGAACCACATGCTATCTTATTATTATTCACTGAGAGGTTACCACTTAATTGGTTTGAAGCCAAGTTTAGGTGATGAAGAGAAGGCAGAGAGAACAAAGAGGGTGGAATGTTTCCAAATATTTGATTTGAAGATATGTCTAATATATGAAGATTATTAAAGTGAATAAGCTGAAGAGAAATCTGTGATCTTAGTTTGTTGCAACTCAAGTTGAGTTCCTGAAGAGAAACAATACCTTGGAGATCTGGAACACTTCCATTGAAGAGATTATCAGCCAAAACAAGACTCTTGAGATTCTTCATTGATGATATTGATGATGGGATTTCACCTTGGATGAAATTTGAGCTAATGTTAAACACTTCCAATGATAAGAATCTGTTAATCTTGGATGGTAATGGACCCCACAAACCTAATGAAACCAATGACAAAGACTTTAAATAAGAAAGCTTTGTCAAGAGAGTGAAGAAAGAATCAATAGAGAAGCTTCCTGAAAGAGCTTGATTTGGTTTGAGGCTGTGTGAAGAAGGGGATGTCTTGTTTCCAATGATGGTTAGTTGTGTGATATGACCATCTGAGGAACAAACTATGTTGAGGGAAGTTGATGGAGGGAGGAAGCAGAAGTTGGTCCAGTTAGTCCATCCTTGCAGAACTTGAGGATATTCAACAATTTTCTGAATTTGTAACAGAATTCTATTCTCACTTGGTGTTAGCTGTGCAATACAACAAGTTGGAGTAATAAGCAGAACAAGAAACAAGTAACAGAAAGAACCACATAATTTCTTCATATTCTGAGGTTCAAATATTTGTGTACTAACAATTCAGAGGATAGTTATTCACAGAACTGTATGCTGCAGTGTGCAGAGTTTAAGCAATCAATTAGCATTTGGTAGTAATAAGCAGGACTGCAGGACTTGACAGCAATAGTTAGTTATATTGCTCAGAAGATAGCATGAGTTTCATTCAATGACTATCTAAAACAGAATCTTTGGACTACTTGTTATTTTTTTCTTCAAAAAGTACTCAATTTTATCCCACAAGAAAATAAAGTTGTTAAATGGTCCTTGAATATTTCTTCATGAGAAACTTTGGTTCAAGAAAAAAATTGTCACCATAGTTCATAAGATTTTGTTTATGGGACTCAAAAGTTGTTCTGTGGGGCAAACTTTTTTGTCATTGATTTTAGAGAAGGGGTGAAAATTTTCAAGAACTAGTTTGTTATACTAAACAAATTTTTAGTTGCTATTCAGTGGACTTTAATTTTTTTCTAACTTTGAAGTTGTGCAGATTCTAATTCTAATAATTTGCATAGAAAAGGTAATAAGGTGAAAAGCTATTTCTTATAATTATACTATAATGATTGGAAATTTGGAGGAAAAGATGTTTATTGATGAGGATAAGAATTTGAGTAATGTGGAGCAAGTAGGACTATGGGGCAGCTCAAGTCTGTAAAGTTAATCTGAGATCTAAAAAAATAATGATATTAAATTATTAGCAATAGTGAAGGAGGCTTATTTTGTTAGACACATCATACTAAAGTTATATGCATAGCCACACATTCTGAAATCCAAGTTGCAAGTGATGCCAAAGTCAACATAACACTGAAATATCAAAGCTGTAAAGTTGCATGAACTTCGGGTGTTGACCATTTAATAATCAACCTTCATGCATAATAGCACTACACTAAACTTTTAATATTATAGATATTACTATTATTCATGCAACCCATGCGCCATGGCACGTGGTTTTAATGATTTAGGTAATAATAATATATCCTTAATAATTCAGAGTTTCACTGTCACAATAATTCAATATTTGGAGTTATGTGATTGCCAGTTTTGTGTCGGTGATGAGGTGTTCCTATAAAGTGAGGGGATTTTGAGGTTTGAGGCTCTGCTTTACTACACACATTCTTATAATAATAAATTTAAAATGAGGGACACACACATTTTTTAATGTGCCATGAATTAGTTCCACCTAATCTTGTTCTTGTTATTAAATTTAAATTATAAAACATTTACAACTAAATTATGCATATCAATAATAGTAGTTACTTTTCTTGATTTTTTTTAAAAATCATTAATGATTAAAACTTTATCATCATTCAATATTGATTTTAATTAATAGTTTCATTGACAACAAAATAATAGAAATAAAATCAAAACTCTTAATAATGACAAGCAAAGAAAATACTTATAGTATTAGAGGAAAAGACACAAGCTTGGTGTTTGGAGCAAAAATAGAAGGATTACTTAGTTATGGTTTCATTGTTTGAAAATCAATGAAATACAAATGCATTCTCCAAATTCAGTATGGTATGATAGCACAATGCTATTAATACCGCTGCGTTTTCAATCTCCTCTCTTTCTCGATTTTCTTCATCAATCTTCTTTTTTTCTCCTCTTTCTTCCTCCTCTTTCTTCCTCAATCTTTTTGATTTTCTGAAAATACACAAAAATAGAAAAACAAATTGATCAATGGGAGAACCAATGTTTATTTTACAAGAACACTAATCGCAAACTCTATCATTCATCAATGAGCTACCATCTAAAAATTTAGGAAGTCTTTTCTACTTGCATCCAGGAGAAAATCCATGTACGATTTTAGCCTCCACACCAATAGATAGGACGAATTATCATTCATGAAGTAGGAGTATGAAATGTGCTAGGTTATCCAAAAACTAATACAAACATATTGATGGATGTGTCATCACACCTAACTCGGATGATCTAGAGTTTGATGTTTGGGAAATATGTAATACCATGATAATTTCATGAATTACAATATGTCTAACAACACAAATTGCACGAAGTACATTATATATTGACAATACTCAAGAACTAAAGATCAAAAAGGGAATTTCAGAATTTCTGAGGTGTTTCAAGAACATCATTCAATTAAACAAGGTGTTAGAACAATTTCAGGTTACTTTACTGATTTGAAGATACTTTAGGAGGAGTTAGAATCCGTAAAGCCTATGCCTTCTTGCACTTGTTCCATAAGATATAAGTGCAATGTTTGAAAGATTATAAGAAGTTATAGAGATTTTGAATGTAATATGTTTTTAAAAGGATTAAATGATGATTTTAGCACAACAAAAGCTCAAATTCTATTCAATGGAACCTTTACCTACCATAAACAAAGGAAATCAATAGCAAAAATTGAAACATGTGTTAATAACTTCCTTTTTTTCTCAAGAAGCGAGAAGTCAATTTACGATATTGATACGATCTATTTGAAACTTATGCCAATTAATTAAATTGAAACAATTTGTTTTAAATACACTTAATTATATAATTAATAGAATTTTAATAGTATGATTACAAATCATGTTATATCTCTTCGTTATTGTTACATATAGTTAAATTAAAATAATTTATTTTAAATGCTCTTAGTTATACAATTAATGAAATTTATGGAATACAATAGTACCGTAATGACACACCGCGTATATTCATTTATGTTGTTGAATTGAGAAGCTAATTCACGATCAATATAGTTTCTTTATTGAACAATTATTTTTAACCCATAATACGTAGTTTTGATTTCTAAACTCTTGTTTGACATAAAAGAATATATTAATTTGTTTTAATAAATAATTTTATAATAAAATAAATTAACTGTATAAAGATTCATAGTTAGCAAGAGTACTACTTTAATACGACACAGACGATGTGTTAATAACTTCCTTGATTTATAGTCGACTCTCGAGTTCAGAACTTTGGTTTGCTGACCATATGTTTCCAAATTGGGCATAAAATAGAGTTTTCTATATAATTGTAAAAAATATAGTGTTGACTACAAACATTTAGAAGCGGGAGGAATCTCCTTTCTCTCACCTTCTAAGTAATGTAACCTATGATTCGTCGACGATTGAATCAGGACAATATAGATAATGAGGATTTTCAAGGATGCCCCATGGTTCAAGTAGGTTGAGTATTGAAGAAGACAGATATTGGTGAGATTTGCTGTAGAGGTTCCATGGTGTCGAAAATTTTCCTAGCAACGAAGAGTTAGGTTGTGTTTTCTTTTAGATGACAATATGAGTTTGGAAAAGCTGCACCACAAGTTTATAGAGCTAAGCTCTTAGTAACATTATTAAGGATATTCGGAAAGACTTACGTTGAAGAGAAATCAAACTCTCATTTGAAAGAAGTCTGATGGAGGAACTGTTAGGTATTGAACAAGGTAGAACATGATATTCACTAAGATAAAGATTATTGGGTAAATTTTCCAAGAAGCATTATATTTCAATCATGAAAGAGATTATTGATGTTGGGAACAAGCGATCAATCAAATAGTAAAAGAGAAAAGGATAACACAAGGAATTTGGTAACGAAGTTCGACCAATTGTGCCTATGTCCCTAGGAGCTTTGAGAGGCTACCACTATATATTATTAGAGAATAAAAATTTGTGTTTAGCTATTGTTCTCCTTGTTACATTAGGTTTACATAACATAAATATATAGCCCTCTACCACAACCCTTTACATCAGCCCAAACTCATAACTTGTATTGCTGTTATGATGAGAAGAGGCTCAGTCCATTGAATATGAGTCATTGCACAACAATCTCTATCTTGGCGAATATCATCAATCTCCATCTTCCACAATGTCTCCATAGTCCAACATTAGTGAATGTTCAGCAAGCTCAGACGATGTCTGAACTTGTCTATGGTAATCGACTTGGTTAACATATCAGCTGCATTTTCTGAAGTGTGAACCTTCTGCAATAGTATCTGCCCACAAGCTACCAACTCTATGATCTTGTGAAATCTCACATCAATATGTTTGGTCCTAGAATGATTGTCGCGCCCGGATTTTTGGCCACGCGACCTCTTGAGGAGTCCCCAGCAGAGTCGCCAGCTGTCGCGCCTGGATTTTCGGCCACGCGACCGCTTGAGGAGTCGCCACCACGTCTTTTGCGGTTAAAACGTGGAAAACTCGAATTGTGCCCGAATTGGATAAAATTGGTCTTTTAAATTAGAGTCGTGAGTCGATTACGAATCGGGGAAGGTATTAGCACCTCGTTCGCCCGTTATAAAACGGTACCCTAACTAATTGCATGCTTTTAATTTACCCTTATTTATTAAAATTAAATTGATTAAAACGAAATGTTTGTTTTTTTATTTTTGTGTCTGACAAGAGTTTATCTTGCTCCTACGTATCCCTAGGTGCAATAGGGAAATCAAGACTACGTAGTTCTTTAAGAAAATCGTTTGTTGGTTTGGTTTGATTAAAAATTGTTTGATTAAAGGTTATTAAAAATTGGTCTGAGTTTAATTGAAGTGAGACTAATAGACGACGAGTCAACATTGACTGCTTACCCTCTTCTCACTTCGATAAATAGCAGAAGTAGTACAAGTGACCACGACCGGTTCTCGGCTCGAAGTGAGAAGAAAGATGCAATACGAGTTGTAACCTCGCTATTGAATCCCAAAAACATTTTTATTTTCTAAAATAACTTAAATATTTTTAAAGAGAATTTTTATTAATGAAAATTTAACATTAATTATTTTCTTACTTCGATAAATAGCAGAAGCAGTACAAGTGACCGCGACCGGTTCTCGGCTCGAAATAAGATATTACACCAATCATAATCTTATTATTACATTTTTTAAAATGAGTTATTAAGAATATTTCAAATATTTAATTTTTAAATACTATTTATTGTTATTATTTTTAAAAGAAATATTTATAGCATTACACTGTCCATATAGATATCAATTAGTTCCTATAACATAAAACAAATAACACATCATAGCATGATATTGTTATTAACAGAACCAACATCAAATAATATATAATACATGGTATAATTTTGATTTGGGATTAAAGGGTTGGTATGGGTCTTAGTTAATTGGCCAAAAACTGAATATTGGTTTTATGTTGCAGCAGTGAATAAAAATGAATGTCATATGTATTTTTTGTTTATGCAGTGAATATGAAGAATGCGATGGATTTGAAGCTTATGAAGAAGACATATCATAAGATTTCATGTCCTTATATCAATATGTTCTATATGTCATTTGTATTACTCAAAAGAAGATAGCATAGAATATGATGTAATACACACAAATGCATTTTTTACTAGATGTTTATCAATTATTTGAGTTTTTAGCATAATATGCAGTATATGATCCTACATAATATGACACTGTGTACTAACCTTTCAAGCTTATTATTTTGTAGCTTCTAATACCCCTTTATGTCGTTCCTCAATTGTTCTTACCTTTTGAAGGAACAATTGCTTACAAAAAATAGAGAAAAAGAATTGTGTGTCTCTTTCTCTCTTTTTCAGTATATCTTTCTCGTGTTCTCTTTGGTTGGTTGTTTTGTGTTTTCTTTTGAAGTCACTATTACTCTCTATAGTTATAGATTATAATGTTGTCATTTTCAATTTTCTCCTCATTTTCATAATGCTTAGGATTTCTGTTTATATTTGTAATTCCCTTTTTAATTACCAATCAATACATTAATGCTCTCCTTTATACTACGATTTTATTTCTATTTTTCACTCTAATTGCCTTATTGAGCTCGTCCCTTTTATGGTAAGTTGATTAGTGCCTATTAATGTTGATTATTGTATTAATGTTGCCCATTATTGCTGCTTAATTATTCTGAACCTATAATGATCCTTAATCTACATAACCTTAGTGAAATATTTTCGAATTATGTTAATTAGTGATTGTTGATTTATTGTATTAATTGAATTTATTGAGTGCTGCCTTTTTTGTAATCCTGCTTGATTGCCTTTATTGTTTTATTACTGATTTGATTTCCTTTCCCTTCCAGCAAAATGAATGCAGTCCACATTTAAAACAAGAAAAGGAATGCATATGCATAATAATGAGATGATTCTCTCCTTAAGGCGTTGGAGGAAGTAAAGGGGAAATATATTTTTTCCTTTTTTTAGTGATTGAATGTACCTTCACCCTCTTTTAAGACCGGGTGCATAAGTTTAATTGTTGTATGCTAAAATTTCGAATGTATTTATTGCTTAGTTGCTGTATGCTAGAAATGTGAATTTATTATGAAATATTATGCAATTAGTTCAAATTTTTAATTCTATTATATATCAAAAGTTGTGATAAATGCAATATTTTAAACTTGTATAATTGGGGTAGAAATACATTGATATTTTTGTTTATTTATTTTAGAATGTGTTTTGGGCCGGACAAAATTGGGTACTCACAATTATACACCTGATTCTTTGCCAAGAAGATAGCACTCTGACTGTCACAATGCAGCGGAACTCCACCTTGCTCAATGCCTAATTCATTTATCAGCCCCATAAGCCATAGAGCTTCCTTAGAAGCTTCACCAGCTGTCATGTACTCCGCTTCAGTTGTGGACATAGTAGAATATGTATGTATATGATGTAATCCTAAGTGAGTAAGTTAGAGCTTACAATTCTAATATGTCTTAGTAATATATATTTGTAGCCATTCAATACTAATACTCCAGTAAATATAGACAAAAAAATATCTTACTATATCTTTATCCTATTTTGGCCACCAAACAAATCCAAATACTAAAAAAAACTCCAATAACGTTTTCGTGTGACGGTGACGCCAACTTTAGGTACTTATAAATAATTGTGAATTCAAAAATAAGGACCAAGTTAAGACATCTTAATTTAATTTTATTGGATTTATATACCCAAAAAAGCAGTAGGTTCACAAGTAATAATAAAGACGTGAGTTTTAGTCATGGCCCAAGAAAGCGATACTTCTCAATTGCCTCAAATTAAGGCCATCATAGACAAACTATAAGTGCATGCCTTAAGGATACTAAGTAGGAGTACACTTACCTTAAAGATGAAAATGTCATTATATGTGTAAATAAAATGATATA